GAGGGCAAAAACATCAGAAGCGCAAGCATTATCACCATTCTTTAGGTCTACAGCAAGTCCTGGAGAGTTTGTATTCTGTTTTGCTACACGAGGTGGGATTTCTTCTTCAGTGACAGTGAACCTTTTAAAGCTTTCAATGATACTGCCCGCTTTGGCATGTGTACCATAGGTTCACCACCACTGCTTATATATTCCTTCCCCCCTCTTCTCTGAGAAAGTTGTATGGCCTGGCAGCATGATTTGTAAAAAGGCATGAAAAGAAGAAGGATGTGGCTCAACTGTTGGCTAAGAGAGTTGCTGTACACCCATGACTCTACTGAGGAATAACGTCACATAGCGCTCCTCCCACCCCACCCTCACACTGCATGGTTCCCTTAGCCCAGGCCCCCCTCCCTCTCTGTTGTTCACATATTGCAGGAACCTCTAACTGGCCTCCATTCTGCTGGTCTATGGCACTGGAACCCCCATTTTCTAGCATAAATAGGGATGTGTTGTTTTCCCTTCCTTTCAAGTTTCTAGTAAATTTCCATAACTAGCAACTTGGAGCCCAAATTCCTTGGCCAGTCATCTGGTCTTTCCCTCTTGAGTTTCATCTTCCATTGTTTCTTCCCTCTCTGACGTTCGTCTCCCTATAGGACACACTGAACTTTCCATCCTGTAACTTTCCCGTTACCCCCACGGATTTCATGCTAACCAGTTTTGACAATGCATCAGTAGCACCAGGCTATTTTTGAATTTAACTTACACAGCTCATTTATAATGTTTATGTTCCACACTGCAAGGTCTTACTGTTGCTACAAAGATGACAACATGACCTCTATTTTCTTCTTTTCTCTCATTCTCTCTAGTGATTGTAACAGAGCACTGTGCACCTTGTGGTGGGATTTTCTCTCTCGATATTGCATAATATTTGTCATATAAAAGCATATCTGAACTACCTTGAGGCATGCCTCCTATCTTTTTTTTTCCCAGCTAGGTTGGCAGTATTACTCTTTTGTTAGTATCTAAAGAATTTGGCTTCTGTGGTTTATAGATAACATATATTTTCTTCTTTTTTTCCCAGCCTCTCAGCATCATTATTTATTATCCCCTTGCTTTAAAAAAGAAGAAATAATTACTCATTAACTTTGTAATCCTAGCAATAAAACAACTAAAGACTACTCTAAATGTAGTCTTTGTTTTTCTGAGAGAAGGCGTCAATTTTGAGGGCATTCGAGTGTCGTCTTGTGCCTCCGAGCCCTCTAATTCAGGACAGCTTAATCTTTCTCTTCCTGAAGGTCACAGCCCTCTGGGGTTAAGTACGTGTGGCAGGAGAAGGAGACCACAGCACTCACCTTCTCTTACTGCTTCTCTCATTTCTTGTACATGGATAATTTCCAAATCTATCTCTCTGACTTCTGTTTCAAGCTCTAGATTCTTAACTCACTGTCTATTGGGCATTTTCACCGAGATACCCTGCTGAGACTTAAAATTTAATTTGGAGAAACAAATTTTCCATGCCCATTCAGAAAGTGGACTATCCTCCAGAAGAATGTAGATCTATTGATGGTGCCATCTTGGTCATAATTATCCAGACAACTTCATCAACCACTTCCTCATTCAGGAACTACTTAGGGAGTGGAAATTAAGGTCATGAACTTGGTATGTGAAGCCCTCTGAAGGCTTGAGGTCTTTTGAACTTCATGGTTCATTTACCCTCCAGCCATCTTTCACCATGGGTGTACACGAAGATTTCTTCACCAAAATCGTTGAAGCAATACTTCTGCAGAAATGTCTTCCTTTCTCCAAGGCTTGGTCCTTCCAGTCCACAGAATTGTTCTGATCCTCTGAACCACTGTTTTAAACTTTGAGTACAAACTGTTCCTTTGGTATGTATTATATATATTATAGCATCTGCATCCAAGCACATTTAATATGATTTGTAAAAGTTGATGCAGTGTAAAATCAATAATGAAGTTAAAACCAAAGTATTTTCAAAGAGCAAGAAGAGATGGTAACAGGTAATCTGAGGTGAGATGTCTATGATAATGGGTAAAGAAGGGGCTGACTTCAGACAGCCAAGCCAACGCACAGGCACATTGGGTCCCATTGTCTTTAGTTTGTGCTTTAAGTTTCAGAAAAAGGAAACATATGAAAGAGCTCTGGAGAAAGCAATTTCTTTTGGAACAAAGCTTTATATGAGTATAGTGTGAGTCTTTTCTTTATAGGTAAATCTAGCTCACAGTGAAAGAGAGGCAAGCATGCAATCTTTCAATATTAATTCCTTTGTAAAAAAAATATTGTGAAACTGAAGAACTGTGATTATGGAACTGCACTCTCTGATGATCACACACTGCCAAGATAGAGCTCGGGAAACTCAACAGAATAGATGGTTTGCTTGTCCACTTGACTCTGTCATACTGGGTGGAAAGGAAATTTGGGATCGAAGCCAATTTCTCTGACAAATCCTTGTTGTGCATGATGAATATGTTGCTGACAAAAGTGGGAGCCAAGTACTAAGTGACCAGCGGCACACAAGGAGAGTTGTTACCCTGTTGTGAAAATTTAAAAGCCAGAGTTTTATTCCACCCTGATAGTGTAACACATTTCCTCTTAGATGACCAGAAACAGAGCTATCTCTCTCCTTTTCCTCCTCAAACAAACAAGCCCCCCAAATCTTTACAAAAGCAAGAGAATGTATCTATCTTAGCCACTTTCCTCATTGTTGAGACAGAATACCCAATAGCTGCAACCTAAAGGAGAGATTAAGTTTGGCTCAGTTTATAGAGTTCAGTCCATAGTCTGCTGGCTCCACAGCAGGGCCATGGCAGAGGGGCCTGGCGGAGGCAAAGGTGCTTATATTACGGTGGTCGGGAGGCAGAGAGCATAGTAACCCAGGAGGGAGAGGCCACACCCTAGGGACCCAACTCTTCCCACCAGGCTGCATCTCCTAAGAGTGGTCCTAAGAGCCTATAATCCAATCACCTTTCAAAAGCCCCAACTTCAGGGTCATGAGGCTTGGGGGGAGAATCTAGATATAATCCATAGTACTGTCTATAAAATTATTATAACAATCTTACATATAAATGAGCCTATGTACAATGATTAGAATTGAACACAGGAAGTATTAAAAATTTTGTTGAATTAAGTTTTATTAAAATGATGCAATTATGGCTTAATTACTTCTGGTCTTAAAATTTGCATGGTTAAGGTAATGCTTTGCAATAAATAAAAATATGAGACGAGTTTTCTATCCTCTCTAGCTAAGTTTGTTGGGCAAGACCCAGAACCAGTTTTAATGTCTTCAATAACATGCTTCCAGCAGCATCTTGTGTTTGACACTGCCATACAGTACAAGTGGAAAGGCAGATTCATGACAAATAAGGGCGCAACGGACTTTTCCCTCCTCTCTTACCCCCTAAATGACAACCTTTCCCTAACATGGCTCTAAGATTCTCACAGAGTCTGATGCTTGTTACCTGAAGGGAGCTTTCTCCCTCCTTCATTCTGCAACATCCCAGAGCTCACAGATACACACACTGGCTTTCTGACTCGTCGGATGTTAATCAGCAAGAGCACTGTTTAACCCCCTAATCTTACTATCTAATGTCCCCAAATTATTCTCTTTGCTTTTTTTGTTATTTTTGGCCCTGATAATCGATTGTGTTGGACATGTCATGACACAGCTGAGAAAGCAGTGACACAGTGTGTCCTGTCATTTTTTGTAACATCGATCGATCCATTACTGAGAAGCCGAGATAAAATGATTCTGGGACTATGCTTTCTGGGGATCTCCTAATTTAAGAGGGATCTATAATAACATAAATATTGAATACTTGCTTTGCTCTCAGAACTCCCAGGATCTTGTAGACCTGTTAGTTCTCTCCCCTTGTTCTGTCTCAAGTCTCGAGTAAGTCACTTGTTACCTAGGCTCTATGGTTTCCTCTGCCTGGAACATTATACCCCTGGGTTGCAAGTACCTGGTTTCCTTTCACCTTCTAGGTGAAACTTATAACATCATCTCAGCAATACTTACCATAGCTACCTAATATAAAACAACCTTGACTTTCATATTTCCTGCCCAATTACCCTATTTTATTTTTTCCATATCTGAGAACATACCTTTGTTGCTTCCTTTCTGGTTCTCTATCTTTAATTTCCCAAATGGGCTATTTTCTCTCTTATTCACTGTTGATTTCCAGTTCTTTGCAACAGAGGCTGGCAGCTAAAAGGTGCTTACTAAATCGTTGTTGAATGAAAGCGACTGCATGAATATAGGAAATGCTCCTAAATGGAGACTTCTCCAGATAAGGAAGTCTTTACCCAGACAGATGTTGTAAGAGTTGCATTTTTTATCTTATTGGAAAAAATTCACAAATATAACACACGTGTTGTAGATAAGGAGATGAGGAATGAAGATGTAGATGAAATAGAGTTAGGAGATCCTGGAAACGTGCTTGGTGGGCACATGAATAAATGTAGGAGAAAGATCATTTTTATTTAAAATGAATAATTTTATTTAGAACTTACAGAATAAAAGCCAGAATCCCAACCAATTTGACCTTATAGGTGTCTTTTGAAAAAGTTCTCTCTTTAATCTTGCTCCAGGTTCTTTGATAAATATTCATTAAATAAATAAATAAACAAAAGAAACATAAGAGGAACAAAATATAGACTTTGGCAATTTTCCTGACAAAGCTAGGCAGGCCTCAAACACAGCTATGCATCTGTCTTTACCATTTGAGTCTATCCAGAACTTCCATGGCCATCCCAATTTTGTCCAACCCTTCTAGACATTATTTCAAATCTTGTCTGGTCCTTCGCCTTTCAATACTTTCCTCCATTTAACAGCTTGACAGATAGCTGAGCCAAAATGAAGATTAATGTTAGAGGAGGGAAAAAGTACAGTTATCAGCATTTCAATTGTATTGTGAGGAAATATGAATGGTCTGAAATTTTGCCCTACTTACAAACCAACAAATTAGCCTGTTTCTCTTTTATAGGTGCTGACAGAAGACAGGAGGCTCCTAGGACAGAGATATAAAAATGTTATTACTCACAGAAGAAGCAGTAGCCAGAGCTTCATATCCCTGAGTTGCCACACGGTAGGGGCAGAGTGTAGTGGATGGATGCACACACAGAGGTGGGCTTGGGCAATAGGAGAGAAACACCAAGCCCAGAGAGTCTGCCCTTTCCATAGTAATGAAAGCAAGCCTGTGCCTTTCCTCAGGGCAGATGGTCTCTTCTCTCTCAAGGTAGCAAAGCCAACCCTGAGAACTGCCTCAGGTAGAGAGTGGTCAGAGTTTTGCATTCTTGCTGAACCCAGCAAGAAAGTGCCAGGTTGCTTTAGGCCGGCAGTAGATTGCTTCTCCCAAAGTGTATCACAGGAGGTGTGAAGAGATCTGAGTTCTGATAGACACATATGGCGAAGAGAAGATGGGATGGTTGGATAAGTAACACAGCAAAAACTGATGATGTTTAAAATTTATTTTTTAACAGCAAGTCTAAAGATATTTGAGCATTTGGAAACTTGTACTTCTAAGTGGTATTTTCAATACTAGAGTCATGGGAAGAGAAACTTTCTTTAGCAGAATTTGGAAATATCTAATTCCCAAACACCCTGAATTTAGATCACGACATTTTCACTAAAACTTTCAGTTTATGTTTTTGTCATTGCCTCCTCTTATGGAGCTACTGCAACAGTAGAATAAACATATTTACTTTTTTTAGTATTTGGGGTACTTATCAGGATCTCAACATTGTATTCTCAAAGGTACCTCACAGTTGGCAAATTTACTAAAGTCTTTTATCTTACGAAGAATAGCATTAGCACTTTGTATATATTTTGGCATTTACCCATCTTTTCTGTGACCTTATGCATCCTGAGTAGTAGTCATTATTTTATGATGCCAACTCACTATATGATAAGTATTCTTCTGAAAATAATAACTATTTCTTCTTACTACTTAAACATAGGTGCTTAGAATTAAAAAGAATTCAGAAATCATGTATTCACCCTTGGTATGTTTTTCTAAAGGTTTTATACTTAAGATCTCTTGAAATGTTTTTCTCAGAACCAAACCAAATAAAGAACTTAGAATCTGGGTTAACAAAAGTATAGAGAAACTGTCATCTTCCTTCATTAGGATAATACACATTTTCTAATGCAGTCTGAGATTGTTTTTGTAGCCATCATATCAGGCATGTTCAAAGATACCAAGGAGTGCTGAAGCTATTCTTCACAAGACTAAAGGACTTGGTAAATTTTCCATTTGTGAGTTATCTGAGAATATAATGTTGAGGTCCTGTTAAACATCCCAAGTACTAAAAGAAGTAAAAATGTTTATTTTATTTACTATTTTGGTAGGTTATAAGAAGGACAGTGACAAAGATATAAACTAAAACTCCCATGGTTGTTCCACAGGAACCTTATCAATATTCCCTAGAATCTACATCCATGAAGGGTGAAATTTTTTGTGTACTTTGCTTGTTTCTGTGTCTCCAGTGCCCAGAATAGCACCATGGTTTTTCATGCTCAATAAATATCTACTTCATGAAAAGATGTATTTTCAGAGTCATAGTTTTTAAATGGACTGAAGAATTTTATATTTTATATATGAACTCCATCTAGTTCCTTTTTGCCAAGTCTAGATGAGGGTACTGGAAACAGATTCTTTTCTATGTAAATGAGAAAATGTCTTTATAGAGAGACATAGATTGAAAAATTATTGAAGCTCTAATATTTCTGAAATACTTCTTGTCCTTCTACATCCAGTAAAGAAGGAGGAAGGTCAAAGTTATACTTTCTTACCATTCCAAGCTGAGTGTGGTACACACTGATGATGGAGAAGTTTGGGAAGAAACTTCCTAAAAGCCTGCAGGTCTTCAGGACACTGAGTTCTTCTTTACAAAGTGAGGTGAGGATGCTACTTTAATTATCAAGTATTAGCAGATGAAATGATGGACATTCATCCTACTGTCCGAGGTATATTAGTCTTAGGATGTATTAGTCAGATTTCCATTTGCTGGTGCAAAATACCAAACATCCACATCTTACAAGAGGAAAAGGAGTTTATTATTTTGGCTCACAGTTTCAGAGGTTTCAGTCCATAGATACCTGGCTCCTAGGCAGAAACATCATAGTGTTAGGGCACGGTGGAGCAAAGCTGCTCACTTCATTGTGGAAGTGAGGTACAAGAAGAAAGCACAGAGGAGTACCAGAGAGGAAGAGGCCAGGGACCAGATATAGACCCCAAGGTCATCCTCCATGCTGCGGTAGCGATCCAATTGTGCTAACTTGAATAAGAAATGCCCATCTAAATTGGGTCAGCACAGTTCTGGGTGTGGCTGAAGGGATTTGCTGAAGACAGAAGACCCATCCTAGGTGTGAGTGGCACCAACAAATATGACTGTAGCCTGAATGGAATAAAAGGGAAACAAAATGGCCTTGTTGGGTTTGAGATGCTGAGTGGGGAGCGTTGGTGGTGGCAACTCAGGTTAGATAAAAGGCCCAGAAGGTGCCCTACTCCAGTAATGCCCTTGAACCCCATGCAGATATGAATTAATATGCTTCTTATTTCATAGGAATTTCAGTCATTCATTTTAGCCTCACAGTTAAATTGATTCGTCTTCTCCATTCCTCCATGAGCAGAAAATATGTTGGGCAGTGAAGGGAAGAAGATTGAGGAAATGCTCATGATTATGAGAACTGAGAATGGACTTGAAAATAAAAGGCTTTCTGAAGGAGACTAAGGTAAGGGGTGGGTGTGCAGGGCTTTGAGAAATTTGAGATCCCTGGTTACAGACTGCTAACTGCAAATTTTCAGTCAAATTAGAGATAAGATATCCAAGTAGAGACAAGATATCAAACCTTTAAAAATGAATCAACTTTATTGTAAAGAATTTTTAGCTTCATGGAAAAATGGAGCAGAAAATCTAGAGTCCCATTTGTTATCTTCCTCTGCACACATGCTGCTTTCCCATTCTCTGTGCGCTGAACCACGGTGGCTCATTTGTTACACACGATGAACCCGCACCGACTGACACATCATTAGCACCCCAGCCCATAGTGTGCATTCGGGCTCACTCTTGGTGTGCTCATCCTGTGGGTGTGGCCAAGTGTATGCCTTGCTGCCGACCATGCAGAGGTCTTTCACTGTCCGGAGTTCCCCTGTGCTCGGCTAATTCTCCCTCCCTCCCTCCCAAAGCCCCTGCGACCACTGATCTTTGTACAGTCTTCATAGACTTGTCTTTTCCAGTGTCCTATTGCTAAATCCATGTGGCATGTAGACTTTTCAGATTGGCTTCTTTCATTTAGTAATTTGCATTTAAATTTGCTCCATGTCCTTTCATGACTTGGCAGCCTTTTTTTTTTTTTGAGTTGAATAATCTTCTATTGTCTGGATATTTACTTATCCATTCAGTTACTGAAAGATATGTTGGTTGCTTCCAAGTTTTGACATTGTGAAGGATTTACACATACTTTTTTTTTTTGCATAGACATATGTTTTCAGTTTATTTGGGTAAATACCAAGGAGTGGAATGATAATTAAATGGTAAAAGGAATTAAATGGTAAGATGCTGTTTCATTTTGGAAGAAATAGCTGAACTGTCTTCCAAAGTGACTGTCCCATTTTGCATTTCCACCAGCAAGGAGCGAAAGTTCCTTTTGTTCTGTATCTTCACCTGTGTGCAGTGTTGTCAGTGTTTGGATTTTACTGTTCTCATAGATGTGGCTCAGTTTGTAATTCATTAATGACATATGACTGTGAACAATTTTTTTTTTTTGGGTACTGAGGATTGAAGTCAGGATCTTGCACTTGCAAGGCAGGCAGCAGCACCACTCAGCTAAACCCCCAGGCCCAACTGTGAACCTCTTTTACATGCTAACTTGCCATCTGTATCTTCTTTAGAGAGGTGTCTGTTCATGTACTTTCCCATTTTTTAAATTCTGTTTTTTAATTGTTGTGTTTAAAGAGTTCTTCATGTATTTGGATAATGGTCCTTCGTTCATACATCACATTTTTTTATGTAAAACTGTTTGCTTTATTGTCAATGTTGTCTTCTGGTGTGTGTATCCCATAATTGTTTATGATTGAGAAAACACAGACCTCAATTTCATGAGCTATGATATATAAAAAGCTGAGTTTGCCAGATTTAAAAATGTTTTGCAGAATTGGATGTGGGTGATAAAAGGGTGGAAATGGGAATATGAAACAGGTTAGCCTTTTAAAAATGTCAGGTTACAGTAAAATTGCCTTTCCAATGAAGCAAATGACATAGCCTTTCTTTGTATAACATTGGAAAACCACAGTTTTGTGTCCTAATTTAGATTGGGAGTTTTTCTCAGTTCTTACTAAGATATCCTCCAGATACTGCATCAAGGGAGCTTTTGCCAAGCAGTTTTGATCAACTTGCAAGATGAGTTTTGCCTGCCTTTAACTAGGTCATGTGTTCTCTATCGTCCATCTCAGCAGAAACATACTTTATCAAAAGCTGAGACAGATCAAGTGTGGAATATGCTTTTTTAAAAAGGTGAGTTTGAGGTGTTAGCAAATTAGTTTTATAATTTTAAATAGTTTCAAGTTTAAAGACCAAAGTTCACCTGCACTTGGGTTTCCATTCTGATCTCTATCTTTCTTCTGAACACCTGAGCATGTGGGGTCTGCAGTGTGAATTTGGCAGTTATGATTTAATGATTCATTATGGCAACATACTGCTGCCTTGTGCTGTTTTTAACTTTCCAAATTTTCCTATTTCATTTCCATAATGGAAAGAAAAACTCTTGAGTATTAGCTTTCTTCAGAGAAGCAGAACCAGGAGGATATAGATATACAGGCAGGTTTATTATAAAGAATAGACTCATGAGATTGTTGAGACCAGCAAGACTAAAATCTGTAAGGCAGGCTGGGTGGCCGGAAATTCAGTGAAGGGCTTATGCTGCGCACAGCCTCGAGACCTCAATCTGCAGGTAGGTCAAGAGCTCTGAGCCACAGGTGGCGTTTCTACGCTCGGTCTTGGGGTGGAATTCCATCCTACTCTGGAAACCTCAGTCTTCGTTCTTTGGCCCTTCAACGGATCGGCTGAGGATCGCTCACATCGCGCAGGGTCACCTGCCTAACATAAAGTCAACTGCTTGTAAATGTCAATGACATCTAAAAAATGCATTCATAGCAAAGCTAGACTGGTATTTGACCAAACACGTGGGGACCATCACTAGCCATGCTGACACATACAGTTAACCATCACACCTCAAAAGCAGGAACAATACTGTCTACTTTGTGTTCCCTACAGTGTTCATCATCCATTGAGTAAGTATGTCCTGAGTAAATACATGCTGACTGAATAAATATTGGAGGTAAGTAGTTTGCATTCTGAAAAATTATGTGTGTGTGAATATATGGCTTCAAGCATGACTATGCCAGTGGTGTCCAGGTATAATTTTAAACTATTCAATGTGCACACAGATGATACCAGTGGTGATTTAAAAATTCCCTCAAACAGGTCCGGTGGAAAGGAATGGCGTGTCGGAAGATGAGAGCAGCCCCAGCAATTGGGAGGTGGCGGAGTGAGGTTGGTTAGTGTGAGGGGCTGTGGGGAGACAGACCTGGCTGGAGGCTGCAGCTGTGCCTATGCTCCAGACGCTGCCTGAGTAGACGGTAGCGGTGGGATGGAGGCTGCTGACAATCAAGTGCAGAGGTTTTCTCCTAAAGAGGGGTGGCCACCAAAGAGTTCTGAACATGAGAGTGATACAATTGTTGTTTTAAAAAAGAATCTGCATCTCATGGTCGCTTTTGGACCAAAGACAACGAAGCAAACCCTGTCAGTCTCCAAGCTCTGAGAAGGTGCTACGTGGGTTTGAAAGGGCTCTGGAGGATTGTGCCTGTGAAAGGTTCAGGAGGCTGGAGCAGCAGGGGGCAGTGAGAGCCCTGGGGAAGCCAGCAGGTCTGGGCCTATCAGCATTTGCAATGTGGCCAGGTCAGATCAAGATTTGCAGAATTCATGCTGGGTCTCTCAAACTTAGTTCAAAGACCAAAAATAGAAATAGAACCCCTTTCACACAACTAAGAATATAAACTACATCCTAATGGCGTTCAAAATATTAGCTATACTGAATGTTGAAATAATCTTTCAGAATAAATAGAATACATCATTAAATATATATTGATATAATTAAAATTTATTTTCCCTGTTTCTTTTTACTTTCTCGAGGTGACTGCATTAAACGTTTAAGATCACATAGAGGGCTCATGTTCTGTTTCACTGAGTCAGTTCTGCTTCAGGCCACACAGCGGGTCTGACACTTGGGAAAAGAGAGAGAGAAGAGGGGAGTAAGTAGAAAAAGTTGACACAATTCTCAAAAAGTTTGGCCCAGGCGATGGGGAGTCGCCGGACAAAGATTGGCTTTTGGAAAAGTCAGCATTGTGCAGGAAGGTGTTGGAGCTGCTTCCCAGCCACACTCCCTGATCCGCTGGGATCACCTGAGGAAAGTGTGGCCAGGAGACCCTCCCTGGGGCACTAAAAGGGCTGCCAGTCAGCTGTGCTCCCCAAGGCAGAGTCTTTGGAAGGGGCTCTGAGCACTGTACCTCAAAACTGAGTACTGCTTCCTCAAAACCAGCACTTTAGGGAAACTCAGAGAACAGCTGGCTTCTTTGCCAAAGCCTCTTAGCTTTTGGTCACGCTCCCAATTTCCCACCCTGTCTTGCCTGATCCAGTCTCATTTGTAAGGACAGAACTCACTGAACAACAAAATAAGACCTGTCCACAGGTGCTCTGAAATTGCTCTCCCAGCACATTCACTTCCTAAGACTCTGTGACAAGAAGAAGGCCACACTGACTCTGTGAGAGGTTGGTGTCCTTGTTTTTGAGGCTCTGCTATGCCACTGCAACCTACCTTTGTTCCGGAGGTCCTGTCTGATCTATGTTCTCTGTAAAGCATGCGTGAATTGAGAACACTGTTGAACTTTAACTATTTCCTTTCCAAGTTCTCCATTTCAGAAAGTGTTCCTTTGACATATGCTTGCCTGAAAATGGGTAAGCCTGTCTGGTACTGCTAGAGAAGGTCAAATGAGAAATGGTGTGGTCCTGAAACAGATTGTCATGTGGCTGTGAATGACAGTTTGGTGACGGTGCTATGTAATTGCAAAGAGCGTGGCAGAGATTTAGATGCTATGGCTTTTGATGAAGTGATCAGTGCTGTTAGGAAAGTGATGTAGAGGTTAAAAAAAGATATTTTAGAATTCAAGTAATAATGGACACGGTGAGTTATGAGTAATATTAGGTAGAAAGAAAACAATACAAAAAACTTACTCTACTTTTCCACAAAGTTTAGACCTGTCAATGTTCATTTCACTCGAAAGATAAGACAGTGCAGTTTAGCAAATAGTTGAATATAGACTTCGAAACTGTCAGGTGCCATCATTTACATCTGGTGGTGTGGAAGTGGGTAAGTTTCTTAACCTTTGTAAGCCTCAGTTTCTTCAACTGTAAATGAGAATAGTTATAGTGCCCAGCACATAAGGTTGTTTTGAGAATCGAGAAAACATGTGTACGTTACTGGCATGGTGCCTAAGACACACAAAGGGCTCAAGAAAAAAATATTACTATTTGAAGAGATTGGAATTGCTTCACACCATTGGCTCTGCACAAGTGTCACATCTATTTGATTTTATAAGTCAACAGAAAGTCTCTATCTGCTGGGTAGGGGAAAAAACCAGTCCCAGCTCTTCTTCTCTTGTATGGTACAAATACCTTGAGCGATGACTCAGTACAACAAACTGTGCATTTCCCCGATCTACACCCAGGAGGCTGCTACTGGATTACTGCATTGGAAAACAGACCACTCTTCTAGGAGCTCCTCTTTCTCTGAACAGATCTCCAAGTCTAGGGAACCAACTGGATTTGACCAGGACTCTCTTCATAAAGGCCTGAATCTTGGGAATTGCCCAGTCTGGAGAAAACTGGGACTGGAGCAAGGACACATTCCCTCAGTTTGGATAACTATAACCAAGGATCCATCGAGGAGAAGGTTCCAATGGATCTTGTTGTCACCACCGTTAAACCAGTGGGAAGCATATGAAAAATTGATGGGTATCTGCTTTTGATAACATTGAGTAACTTACACAGAGAATGAGGAGCTCAAATTGGTTTAAACTATGGACTGAAATTCAGGGATGTGCTATAACCATGATGAAGAAATTCATTATCTTTCAGCTGTAATAGCCAAAACTCAAACTCAGATTTTAATTACATAGGGTACCAAATTATATCAGTTGAATAACCTTTTCACTTTGTATGTCACTTCCGTGGAAATGCAGGCATTGGTTAGAGAGGGGTATCCCGGGGAAGCAGGGTGGTATCTGCTTGAGTAACTCAGATACCCTCCCTGTGTGGTTTCTATTTCCCAAAGAAATAATGTTCCCTCTGGTCTTGCAAGATGGTTCTTTTCTTTTTTGAAGACTCTTGTTCTCTGCCTGAAAAAGTTATCTTAAAAAAGAAACCTGTTCTCCCAAGTTCCCCAGCTCTTTTACTCTTGCTTTGCTTAGAGGAACAAAAGAAATGAATGCCATCCTGACCCGGGCTGTCTTATGAGGTCACTCTGTGGGCAAGAAGGCTGCAATCATGAGCAGCAGGGCTTTCTTTGCTAATGACTTGGAAAACAAGAAGATCCTTGGAGTACGTGAGGGAATGACTGGAACCAAGAGGGAGGAGTATAACCATATAGCTGGCTGATTTCTTTTTTCTGATTTGGGCCATTCACTAGATATTTTACATTCAGAGCTGTCTGGAACAACTTCACTGTTTCAACAGTTTGTTGGTGGTCAACTCCAATATGTTGTCAATACTGGCGCACAAAACTTGGAGCCAGATTTTAAAAAATTCTAACATAGAGTAAAGGAATGAGTTAAAATCTTCAAGCAATGGGAAACACGGAGTGATCTCTTGTGAGCATCTTGTCCAACTACATCCTAAGCATAACCCTCCCATAGTCTCCAAATCTACTGTTTTCACCAAGATATTCAGAGATACACTGCTGAAGGAAATAGTGTTTCCAGGAATGGCCATTTTTTGAAGATGGAGGATTCTAGTTGGAAATCACACAGCTGAAATAGGCCATCTGATTTCAGAGTTGAGGGGAGCGGCTAGGGTACCAGAGGCCAGGGAGCTGCACTGAACTATAGAAACAAAATGAGCATTGTTTTCATAGTTGTCAGCAGAGTCAGCGTGATGCTAAAATGATCTAACCCACAGAGATTTCCAATAGAGATGAGGGATGTTGGCATGTCTGGGACCAAAACAGATTGTACAGGACGAAGAACAGAACGGTAATTATTCCTAAAATTGGCTTGCATTTTAATTTCTTTTACTTTATTATTTTATTTTTCATCCTGTGTCTTTGCCACTTTTCTGTCTCTGGGACAAAATACCCAACACCCACAATTTTAAAAAGGAGAAGTTTATTTTGGCTCACAACTTTTAGAGGATTTAGGCTGTGGTTGGCTGGTACCAAGGCAGATAGGGAAGGATGGAGGGGCCTGGGCAGGGAACAGCTGTTCATCCAGTGGTAGCCGAGAAGGAAGGAGCTGTGGAGGGAGATACACCCTCCCGGGACACGCCCTCTGTGAGCTGCCTCTTCCAACCAGGCTCACCTCCTCCTGTGCACCAGCCATGAGTTCAACAGTGGACTCATCCATTGATGGGAATAGTGCCCCATGGCCCAGTCACCTTCCAAAAACAGCAGACTGGGGAACATTTCAGACCCACACCATAACATCCTGGCATACTGGGTTTAGCTCATTCAAGTTTTTTAATTTCAAGGTAGGAATGCTTCCAACTTGGGTGTAATAATGGTGTCAGTGGACTGGGTGCTGTGCTACCATTTAGCCCTTTCAATCTCATCACACCCAAGGGCCAGCAGGATAAAAGTGATTGCTGCATTGTAGAATTGAGAAAGAGGACTTGGCCTTAGGCAGTGCTATAAGGGGCTCAGTTACCTCTATTAATAAGCTTTGCACAACACCACAAAGCAAAGAACTCTAACAGGCTGTGCTGAGTGAAGCAAAGGGAATGTGGAATGCACAGGGATGAAAGCAAAACAGAGTAATAGCTGTCATTGGTTATTTGCAGAAATGAGGACTGTAGCTTCTATGATATTTGATTGTCTACTCTATAAGGATAAATAAATATTTTGACTAATTTTTCTTCTCTTTCCCATACTTTATAAGATGCACTATTTGTGGTTCTACTTGTGTTTAGACCACATGCTTCAGATATGGGAAAATGTACAGAGACTCTGGTTTAAGAGCCAAGATACAATAACGACTTAATTTAGGTATTTTCCTTTTGAGGAGGGGAGAGAGTGCTCTCAGTTCTCTTGGGGATCACGCCCTCAATCACTCAGTTCTTCGGACCAAGCCCCACCTCCTCACAGCACATCAGCCACGAACTCATCAGTAGACTAACACTGTGAGGCAGGAGAACCATTTACGGACAAACAGGGTGAACTGAGGTAGATATGTGATTTTAAAAATTGTTTGGTATTTCATACCCACTCCTGTTCATATCCCATGCTA